GGGGGGGGAACGGTCGTACAGCTTGTCAGCTTGATATGATGATAACTTTATTTATTTATTTATTTATATATTTCCGGACTGGTGACTGGATTTCAGAAAATGGCAAAATGCATGATTGAAACGGAGTGAAGACAACACTGGAACATGTTCTCGTTGCTTTTCCTTACCGCAGCATGGACTCGTTGCTTGTGTTTTGAAACGACAAGGTCTCCTGACATGTCTTTTGGTCGTGTTTGTTTGTTTGTTTGTTTGTTTGTTTGTTTGTTTGTTTGTTTGTTTTTTTGTGACTGTGTTTTGCTGCTGTGGCTGTGCAGTGCTCGCAAAACCCCCTGAATATAAGCAAGTACCAGAATGACCGAGAGGTAAGATCACCGTTTGGCTTGCCTGCCTGCATGGGGCCCTACCCCATTCCTCACCTCCTACCCTTGCCTGCAGTGTCCACTGTGCAAATCTAGTTAGCAAGCTGAGGAGATTCGTCGAATCTACTCAGCACCCCTCCTTATCTCACCTCCATACCCCTTCTTACCTCCCCTGCGTACCCCGTCTTACCTCCCCTCTGTACCTCCCCTCCGTACCTTGTACTCAGCACCCCTCATTACCTCCCCTCCGTGCCTTCGATTCAGCACCCCTCATTACCTCCCCTCCGTACCGCTTGGCCCCATTGCCGGATCTACTCAGCAAGCAGCAGTGATGAAGGGGAAGGGAGCGAGGATGGGGCCATGGGGTGCAGAGAGTAGAAGCAGGGAATACAGGTTGGAAAAGAGGAGGGAGAGACTCGAAGAGGCTGAGGAGGTTCAGCAATGGAGTGGAGGTGGTGAAAGAGAGGAGAAATGTAAGAAGGAGAAGAGGAGAAGAAGAAGCTTCAAAGAGGAGGAGGAGAGAAGAAGAGACGTGAAGGAAGCTGAAAAAGGACAAGAGGACAATTGTTAGTGGAAAAAGACCTTTCATAGGACTTATCCGTCTTCATCTTTTTCTCCACATTGTGACACTTCCCTTCTCTTCTCAGTCCTTGCATCCATCAGTGCATCCACCTGCCCGCCTGCCTGCCCACCCGCCCATTTGTTGCCTGCTCATGCTTCCCCTCCCTCGTCTCCTTTTTCCAACCAGAAACCAGATGAGGAAAATGAGCAGGTGGAAAGTAATGTCTTCTCCCTCTTCATTTGATCCCCACACGCTGAAACCTCTCTCTCTCTCTCTCTCTCTCTCTCTCTCTCTCTCTCTCTCTCTCTCTCTCTCTCTCTCTCTCTCTCTCTCTCTCTCTCTCTCTCT